CCTGCTGTGTCACATCATGGCGCCTGCACAAGCTGAATTCAAGACTTTTTATTGTCAAGAGGCACTACCATTACACTACATTTTAATATGGACCTTTGCCAACAGTCATAAATAAAACACTCACTCATAAACAGTTCCTAAAGGCAATGTGTCAGATGGTATTTCATTAAAAAAAAGCTTGCTACAATGAAGTGGAATACCATAGGCCATGGCTGGTTGAGGCTTTCTTTCCCTTGTGTCTCTCTAGGTGTTTTGTTGGTTCCCAAAAGGCTTTTTAGTTAATGTATGCCATGCCTACCAGAAGATCCTTCTTGCTAATGGATGAAAAACTCACAGCTAAAAGGCAGAGGATATCAGTGCCATTTTCAAGAGATGTCTAATGTGGGAAAACTAAAAGCTGTCAGGAAAAGATAGAAAAACTGTAAATGAGTTACAGAATGGTGACAAGAAGAAATTAACCTGGTGGTTGAATGAAAATTGTATTTGCTAAGTACCTTTAAAGATTAAATCCGTAAGTGAAAACATATTCAAATATACTGTTCCCTGTTGTGTAAGTTCTGAGATTTTCTTGAAACAGAAAACGTCACTTGACACTTGATACAGTCTGTGCATAGTTAAATAACTGGATAGCCTTTCTCAAACTCAGCAAGAAGCATGTGAAATAAAAGATGAATGTCTCTCTGTTTACTAGACTGCTGTGGTGGTCATAGCAATAAACAGCTTTAAAAGACTTTAAAAAGTAACCTTCTGGTTTTTCTGCTCTCTGGACTACTCCAGTGTTCTCAGCAATTAGCAGCTTGCCACATACATTGGGAAGTGTAGAGCTGAATTACTTTTACAGAAAGCTGCATTTAGTAACTCATTACAAGGCTGACATCACTGAAACAAAAGTTCAGTCATGTAGGGATGTGGCAGAGGTTATCATGCAGCACATTACTAATATACTGGGGGGAAAGATTATGTCAACTGCCTGCTAGTGTCCACATCCAGGATGCAATCTCCCCTGGGAATAAACACTCTTGGCAAGCACTGAAACCCAGAAATCTTCACAAAGCTGTTTGCAATTTGCAGCCAAAGCTATCCACAAATGCTGGGAATAAAGACTACAGTCCTTGACAGCACACGACTCCAGACATTTCCATGGGGGAAGTTTAATCTACAAGGATGTAGAAATATAAAACAAAGTATTGCTCAAAGTAACTGTTTGTCAGATCATGTGCTTCTAATTTGGTTTCCAGTGACATTACACAGCTGCAGCCAATGGATTCCAGCCAGGCCCAGCAGTCACTGAAGTTCTTTTTGGTTTAAATTTAGTATCTGAACATGTTTTGCCCATCATTAAAATGGAGAGTAATTGCTCAAAAGTGAACTATAGATGTTACAACTGCAAAGAACTTATTAGGTCACCTAGCCCCATCCTCAGAGCAATGTAGGATTGAAAACACATTGCAACAAATACTAAACAGAGATGTGTTTGTTTTAATTTTTTCCCATTCTTTTTTTTTTCTTTATTGTAATCATTATCAGTATATTCAAAAGTTTAAAAAACAACCACAAATGCCAGTGTAAACATGCTTCAGGTATATAAGTAATATAAAGTATTGCACATACAAAAGTCCTATGTTCAGTATCTCCTTATGGTGCTATTTCATCAGAGTAAGAGTTGTGCAGATGACTTGACTGCCATGAGCCAGCTGATCTTATTTCAGAAGCTGCTACACACAACAATTCAATATTTACAAAACCTAGAAGCTCACTGTCTTTTTCATGGAAGAATGATTTTGCCTCGAATGTATGGGATACAGGAGTGTGCAAATATAGTACAGGCTTACTTCGTGAGGGTATTTATCAGCTGATTGCTTTAATCTACAAAGTCAGCTCAAACCCATTTGGGGGAAGGTGTCAGTTAATGCTTTTCTGGGGGACTGTGGTCAGAGCTCCCCATCCTTAGAAAACAGAATTTCTTGCTTGTGTGAAGCACAGAGATGCTTCACCTCCATTTTCAGAGGCATGTGTCTCCTTCTCTCATAAAGTTTCATGAGCAAACTCCATCTGATAAGCTAAAGACTCCATAAAGGTCTTGCAAATTTACACAGGTTTCCTAACACACAACTGCTCATGTGTCCTAGCTCCTGCTTGGATATCACAGGTCAGTCTGTGTGCAAGAAATGGTAAGGCTGTAAAATCTCCTGTCAGACTGACAGAAGTGACAATGTCTCATGGCTAGTCCTGTCCTGAAGTATTAGGAAGCAGAAGAGCAGTTGTCTAAAAGGAGCCAGGAAGTGGCATAATGGATGAGGCCATTTGCCAATGGAGAAGCTGAGATGGACTGGAAAGAAAAGGAGCTCAGGAGAAGGCAGTTATGGTGTACGTTTCAGGAAATGAACAATTCCTCCTAAGTTTACACAATATAGCTAGTTTCACACTCACAGGCCTTATTGGAAATCTCAAGCTTTCAGGTACAGATTTGCAAAGACCAGAAATTAGAGCTCCTGCTGAGATAAGGACCATTTGCTGATAGAAGAGAAAGAATCTCTTCTTCAGAATCCCCACCTTGGCTGCCCCCCCTCCAAAATATCCTAAGTGTATATTTTTACTCCTTACCTCAAAATATCTTTCCTTCTTTTAGCTCATGCTTGGCTGGCTGGCATCCTATTTTTCTGCATAAATACAAATCCTGCCCACCTTTCCTGCAAGACTTTGCTTAAAAAATAATTATATTAAGCCCTAAAGTTTGCTGAAATCAACACTTTAAAGATGCTGCCAGCTTTTACACTGTAAAATAGAAACCAGCAAAGATTCCTTAGGTGAACAGGTATGGCAGTAGCCGTTCTGTTTTAAGAGGCAACTTCAACAAAGTAACAGGGCAATGGGCAAGAAAATTTCCCCCAGCCCCAAGCCTTCCCAATATCACCAGTGTGGCTGTGATAATTTAAAATGGTGTTTCAGAAATAGCTGTACAGCTGACACAGGATATGGTCGTCAGCCATCAGCAAGGCAAGGAGAGAGTAACTCATCTCCTGTTCTATACTGTGCATGGATTTAGTTATCTGGGTGGGATACTGCCAGCTCTGGGCTGAAAGAGAACTCATCTTGTAAAGTGTTGTATAAATCTTCTGCTTTGCAAAACACCTTGTAGCCAAGAAAGTTGTGTTCTATGTGTACAATGGGTTTACTTTTCTATTTACATGCAAAGTAAGTAAATGATTTTTTTTTAACTTTCTTCTGTCAAAATCTATGTTGATTACTATATCAGATACTTATTCCAAAAAGGTGGAAAAATAAATAATTGTGCCCCATCTATAAAGTTCTTTATAGACTACCTTTGTTTTTCAGAAGTACTTTCACAGTACTGATATATTGCTTGTCTCCCTGAGCCATAATTTCATAAAAGTTCTTATTCTTAGGGAGGTTTCAAAGGTAATATGCATGATACAGTAGCATTCAGAAGGTTTGTCCTGGTCCATCTTCTAGACAATACAGCAACACAGGCATTCTCTCCTTGAGAGATCTGGGTTTGTTCTGGAAGCATCTCAGTATACCACACGTGTTCAAAAGCATCTGCTGAAACATCAGCTGACTGGAATATGGGATAAACATTCTGTTCAGTGGTGAATATGTTTGTAAGGCAGTGATAAAGCTGCTTGCTTTGGCAAGGATGGCTGTTGTGGTATGTTCTCAGAATATTGCATAGATCAGATTACAACACCATGTCACTTGCAGGTACAAAGGAAGACTTGTGGAAGGAATCCTTCATTTAATCCTCATCGTGTTTCTAGTCTCAGGCAGGATTCTGACTTGAACTGTCACTCTCTTCCTTTATGCATCAGTAGTCTTGTTATTTGTCAGCTGTTGCCTGTCAGCCATGTCATCTTGAGGAGGTCTAGCTCTGTCAAAGAAGCCACACTGCAGAAAACAATCAACAGAAACAAAGGTGTCATGGTAGGAAGGCTCAGCTGCAGTTTGATTCTTCACTCAGTCAACCTGAAAGGTCAGACACAATCTATGGCAGGCTGAGGGACTGTGAAGATATTTTATTTCTCTCGAAATCATTCTCTATGAAAAATTAAAGTTTTAGAGTGCTGATATGGACTGACACTAATGAGAAAACTGCTAATTTCAGTTCAGCAAGATGCTCATTCAGAAAAGATATTTAGATTGACAAGCAGCAATAATAACAGAGGTGGAATATGTGTTGGGAAACACGCACAGGACAGTGTTGTGACCTAGACTAAAGATCATTAAAGATGAAATTCCTCTCACCCAACTTCAACTTCCTAAAAGTTTTGACCTTTTAGTTCAAAGGTTGAAAATCACAAGAGGTCAAAGGAAGGTACAATCAAAAGGTAATTCTTCTCAACCTTGCATGTTTTAAACATAGTTTTTTTGCTGCTATTGTTACCTGACTAGGTGAATCCAGTAAGTTAGCATAGGGTGCACACCTAACCATAAACTGCAGGCAGCTAAAGACAGATGAGTCATATCCTAACTCAAGGAATTATTTTAATCTTATTTTAAATGTCAACTGAGAGGATAGCCAAAAGCTACATTGGCTCCCTGTAATACAGCAGTTTCCAGTAACTTGTCTTAAAACTTGTGAAGGGAGTGTAACAACCAACACAGAAATAGAAAACTTTAAAAACAAAAGTTATGATATACGAATATAAAAGGAAATCTTCTAAAAATTAATTCCCAGTGTTGTTTTATGCTGACAAAAACTGGACATTCCTGAAGTATTCAGAGAAAACAAAGTTAGAGTAACTTCTTTTTGAACCTAAACATCCTGAAAAAGAGGACTATAGGTCTTGGGAAACAGAGCCAAACTTTGTATGCCCATTTATAACCAGACTTTAATAATAAAGGAGGACTTTGAAAACAAGTTCCCTCCATAAAGGTCAGTGACACTTGCATGTCTGAAATGCCAAACAAAACACACATCTGTATTGTTGCTTTTGCTCCAAACTGTTAAAGATCACAAAATTCCTGCCTCTCTTTTTCTTATCTGTTAGTATCTTCCAGTATCTTTCAAGTTTTTTTTTTTAAAGCTACAACTACAACAGTCATAATGCAACATACCTTCCATAAAGCTAAGGTCAGCAGAGCTAATACTAGTAGTCCAAGAAGTATGGCTAGTATTATAACCCATAAAGGGATTTCAAAGGAGACATTTGGGGTGGACCAAATGACAGATGTTCTGATCTGAAATGAAAAGAATACATTGAATGAACAAAAATGAAGCAAGTAAAGAAAATCAGACAGTAGAATACAGAAGTTAGAAGCATTCACTTCAACAGCACTTTGCAGATTAGAAATACACACTGCCTGAAATTCTCTCATGTTGGCTTCATTTACGGTAAGTCCCTTTCTGCTTGTTCATGATAATTACTAGAAACAGAATTCACACATATGCAGAAGTCTTATTGTATAAGACATATGAACAATTTTCCCTTAATACAGAATAGCAAAAAAAATTCCTTCTGTGCAAATTCTTCATCCAGATTCAAGGAGCAAAGTTCTACTCACACAGATGCTGGTACAGCCGAGGCCAGTATAACTGACTTACACTGTATTACACTGAAACAATGGTTGACTTCAGCCCAAACTCTTCATTTGAACCACAGTAGATACCAGCTACATTTTTCATGCTTTAATTTCTGCTGACAGACCAGTATACATTTTTTTCTGATTATTTGCATTTCAGCTAAGCAATCCAAAAATGAAACTCAAGCAGTGTGTGTTGTCCTTGTGATAAAGCACAGGATAATGTTATGCTCCTTGTAAGAAGTTAAGCACGCAGACTATTACCTAAACAGGAAATAAGCATGAAATATGCTCTCATTGTCTGAGGCTCTAGAAAGCAGCAGGTGTTAACATGAGTTATCAAAGGTTTTAATTGACTTGGCAAACTTCTCTCTTTAGACCTTCATGTGGACAAAGAGTAATAATAATCTTTCTGTATTTCTCCTTCTGGGGCCATCGACACTCTCCTGCTCACTCTCCCTTCCATAACTTGCACCAAGTTTATTCTGTGCTCTCAAGACTCCTTATGGAAAGCTCCTCGTCAATCTCATTGAATATTTGCTCTGTCCCCGCTGCTCCCAAGTGGGAAGGAATGAGTTTGAGCTTTCCTTAGCTCTTCAGCCACAATTATATCCTTTCAGTCCCAGTTTATTTTCTCAAACTTTTCTCTTTGTTATTAGTCTAGGAAGTTATTTCTCTCTGGGGTTTCGTCAGACTTCTCTCCTCTGCTCCTAGTCTCCCTTAAACAGGATAAGTATGTGACAGATGGAAGTTATTTTCTTTATGACATGATGTAATCAGTTTGCAAAGCAAGTGATTACACAAGCTCTCAAATGATCTTTCTCTGAGATGCTCAATGTACAGCTAGGAAATCTACTCTTCTTAATAAGTTTCTTGACTATTTTCCAGTCCTTGAGCTGCACTCATTGAAAATTCTCTTTCTACTTTCTTTTCCCCCCACAATTTAGTGGTTGATGCACCTGAAATTTAACACAGCATTAATTTCCAATTTGTTCATTTATGGAACAGCAGCCTAAGTTTGAAGAATGGACACAACTCTCTAGTTCCGCTCAAAAGTGGTTCTATTCCTATGCCTCTCACTTCTGTTCTTGAAGATGGCAAATTTGAGCCTTTCTGCAACATCCAGCCCTTTCCTCTCTCACTCTTTCTTGTGATCAACATTCTTTCCCATGCTTAATTGGAAGACACTTTGGAATAGTCCTTTCCACTTATTTCATTTGTGCAGCTAACTGCTCCCTACTCCGATACAACACATACAGTGATGACAGTCTTGTGAGTTCTACTGATGCTCACATTGCCATGGGAAACAGAAATTAGGGACAAACTTTCTACGTAGAATACCACTTGCCTTCTACCAAAGCTTACACTGAGGGTTACACAGAAAATTCCAAGGCACTGAGCAGTCCTTCTGATGTTAGCACTTTAACATTGGCCTGTACCCTGAAGATGAAGTGCTTGCAATGCTGGCCACAACATAGTTGATCTAACAAATGTATTCAGGTAATACATGTCTCTGTAGCAGCTGTAAATAGTTATTACTCTGAAATATTTCAAAAAGATAGCATATACAAAGAATAAATACATTATCTAATTAAAGGAAGAAGAATAATTTCAAGGCAAACAGAATTAGTAGAACAACCCATAAAATCCCCTGTGTCCCAACAGATATCCTGCTGGCATGATCAAATGATCAACTATGCCACTGCAGGAATACCATTTCCTTCCCCAGCCTCCTCTTTGGATTGCTTCTTAACCACTGCAGAACTTCACAGACTCTCTGCATCATTAGATTCAGCAAGAGCAGCACTCATTTAGTAAGGACAAAATGTTCTTGAATAGCCCTGCTTGTGTCTTAGAGTGGCATTAAAATGCAAGGGCAGAGAAAATGAGAAAAAGGTCATCTGAACTGTCTGCAGAGATTCCTCCCAGAGAAAAGCCAGTTAAGGAAAAAGATGAATGCAAGTAAAAGGTTAACTGGCCAGGGAGAAGAGAAGGGATGCAGTTAAAATGGGCTGCATGAAGCCTGTAGAAAGTGTGAGCTCAGCTGTCCAGGGAAGAAAGCATCTCTCTTCTACTGTTTGAAAATCCTTGTGAATGCTGCCTTGAGGCAGGCTTTGAAGAGCTGAGCACATATAGCACAAGAGTTGGGAGGTGTTGACAAAAATTAATGGGCTCCAAGACACCAAAACCAGATTGATTAAAAAAAACCAATTCATCCACACTGTGCACTTCCTTTGTTGGGAAACTTTGAGTTACTACATGCAGGAAGTTACAAATTTTAATTATTGTTTGGAAAGGACCTGACACCATCAACATACAGATTACATGCCTTAATTATGTAAGGTTTGAGTTTCATTACAGTTTCTGTTCTTAACACTATCACTTGCCTGAGCATGAGAACTAAAGTGACGGACTACTTAATAAAACTGTCTTAACAAATATTTGTAAAACAACAGCAAGAAGCAAACCCAAGCAGTGCTTTCTGTCCTCTCAAAAATTACTGACTCCATTTTACAGTAAGATCAAACCTGAGGGAAGACCCATTTGCTTGCATAGGTTTTATTTTGCCATTTTTTGGTCCTGATAGCTTCAGCCAAATTCCTAGGTGGCATAATGTGACTGAGGTAAATGCAACAGGAAATGGGAGCCAGCATTGCTGCTTTGGGGCAGACTAGAACATCAGCAAACCAGACTCTGACCAGCTGCTGGCCAGGTATGGATGGCTTGGTAGATGGACAGTCTACTGAAATCATACAGACAAAGTTTGGAAATTATCAGAGTGGGCAAGTACTTCTGTAGGAGGGATTTTTTTATAGATTTCTTCAGATAATATTTGACTGAACCACATCTGTCTCCTTAGGCATCATGTCCACTTTAACCCAACCTAAGATACTCACTTTAGCACCACAGGTGCTCTCAGACAGGACTGAAGTAAGCTGCTGCTTAACTCATGGGGCTGCCTGCTGATTGCACAGGAGCACAGTAACTAGACTCTTCATTAATGTGCACCAGTTCACTGTTCAACATTAGGTTGGGTCAATCCAG